TCTAGTTATCAATAAAACTAATTAATTAAGTTGAGAAGCTAATCTATCGATATTAGCTTCCATTTGATTTATCTCCTGCACCAGCTCATCCATTGAGTTACCTGAGCTCTGATAACTTCTATCACTAGCTCGTCGATGAGTAATTTCAGCTCGTTGTGCTCTTTGGAGTAAATCATGAACCGAATTAATTTCGAATTGGGCAAAATATTGAGAAATTTCAGGCTTGATTCCTCGGACGATCAACCTTATAACCTTCCTCTCATCCACTTGAACATTAATTCGTTTAAAAAGTTTAATTTGTTCCAATATAAAAGACAAAACTGACTGATTTTCCTGTTGTCTTCCTTGGTACAGTTTATTCTCCAACAATTGAACGTAATTTGGGTTTACGAAATCACCAAGTAACATCTCTTTCATGGTACTGTAGTTGACAACATTTTTATTTTTGACATAAGATAAATACCAAAGTTTGATCGTGCCAGTTATAAACATTGGAAATCGTTGTAATCGAACATCATCATCCCAACTAACGGCCATTGTTTCAATTCGAAATTCTCAAACCATTCGATATATCTTGACCGTTGTCACCACTCAGTCGATATACATTTAGACTTGGCTCCAACAAGAGATTATTTTGCATGATTGACTCTTCTCTTATTATTTTTTTTATAATTTATAGTCAATCTCAAATATTTTATCGAATTATCTTCTGAATGATTTCAATTCATTACATTAATTGAAGTAAACTTCATACCCCAACTTGCTCTATAAGCTGTTTTAGGGTATTCCATATAATCAATTTTTCGAATGTAAATTATCATAGACTTACCAAGAAGTTGAATTGTAGCTATCAACTCTGAGAATTCGCAATCAGTTAGATCAACCAAAATTATTTTCACTTATAAACTTAATGTGAAAAAAAACAATATCGAAAACTCAACGTTAATTATTATCAAAATAAAATCACAATAATTACGAATTCGATCCGCAGATCCTGCCTGGGTCGCCAAATGAATCGAATAATCTTAATTCACCTTTAAAAATGAACTAATATTAACAATAATAATCTTATCACAATTTATAATACAAACTTTAATGTTGATGTTGATTAAGGAAGAAATGGACTGAATGAATAATACAATGTATTACATTATATAACAGAAGGTGATCATGATCAGTGTATCATGATCACCTTCAGAAGTTTCTAGAATATTCCAACAATTAAACAATCAATACGATATGACCATGATATTCATGGTCATCATCATGGTAACGTCCCAGACGTAACAATTACTAATCAATAATTTTGTTACAATTTCATGGGGACATTGAAAGCTAATTACAGAGTGAGAGACATTAATTGTAAATTAATTAATGAATGAACATGTTTACAATTTAAACTAGAATATTAATTAGATGAATAAAAAGTTTGTTTACAACAAATTAACGTTCAATCAATCAAGGGTTTTTTTTTCATTTCTTGCTAACGGCGTACAATTAGTGCGATCAATTGATTTCTACTTTTCGAATTGGTCAACAATTAAGTGAATATCAGAACTGGAAAAAATTACACTCGAAAAGTGGTACAGTTGGCCAAATAGAACCATTCGTTAGACCCTCAGGTCATTTTTTGGACATCGTTAGTCGTTGACTGTTCATTATCGAGATCGTCAAGGTTATTCTTAGATTTTTCAATACGATTTCATGATAACTCATTGGTGGAAAGTTGAAAGCTTAGATTCATGAATAACGATTAAACATTTAGTTCTAAAGGTAATTTTCGAGTGGTTCGAATGAGTTAATCTAATTTTCGATTGGAAAAAGATACTTTTAACTCAACTGACCTTTGGGAAAACTGATCCTTAGCCATTGATTTAAGTGCTATTTTAAAGTGAAATAAGTTTTCAATTCATCTGAGTTTACAATCCATCTCATGTAATGAGTAATTCAATAAGTATTGATCATGATTACTCTGACATTTGATAGAAAACAAAATTAAATCTACCAGTTAGCCAATTTAATTGAAGATGATGAAGATTAGACATAGATTTAGTATAAAATAATTAATAGACATTAATTAGAGTTAATAAAAATTGAAAACATTGATTGTGTTATTAAATTAAAATAGCTTTTAATGTTATTCGAAATGATATTAACATTTTAAAATAAAAGTCTCGAGGGCAATGGAAATATTAGTATCAGAGACTAATTAATAAAGTAATTGAGACGCAATTAGAATATTTAATATAACTAATTTACTTTCGATACATTGATAGTCATTATGATTATCATAAACATGATACTGAAAACAAAGTTCACTCAATAATAATTTTCAAATGAAATCAGGACAATCCTTTTTTTGGAAAAAAATTTAAGCTAATCAAATATTTATAATAGTTGTATTAAGAAGGTGGCTAATCAAATTGTGATGATTATTAAATTAGAGGTGGATTATTATCCAACTTCACCTGGACACACCCAACTGAATCTCTGATAACACTTCAACAAGAATGAGAGAGAGAGAGATTAATCCAACCATTAACTTTGAGTACATTAGAATCATTTTGAAACAGTTAACATGATTGTTAATCATCATGATCACGCTGAAAACGGTTCATGAGAAGACATTGATAGACAATGACAAAAGATGATGATGAAAATCACAAATAATCATGAAACAAGGTGATAGATCCTGAATATCATGTGAGTATTAAATGAGCTTGAACTTTTTTCACCTCAACACAACTGAACTTTCATTTTTTCCTCATGAAATATGGGTGAGAAAAGCAAAGCCTTTTCCTTATAATAATAATCAACTGTTAGTTTGATAATCATGATAGTCTATCCATCAAAATGATGACACACAAAATCATCATAATTTCATCATCATGAAAGCCATGAAATGTAAATCACAGGAATGAAAACCATTATGGAATTTCAATTTTTCAGAATTTTTTTACCTGAATATTTTTTTCCTTCCCAAGTAGAAAAAAAAACAACCAAAATAATAGAAAAACTTAATTGAGTTAATGAAAGGAAGACGAGTTGCATCATTTCTCGTTTCCCCTTTTCATTTGCTAGGAATTTCTTTTCTTCTCTTTTTCATAGTAACATGAATATACCCTGAATCTCCAATAATAGGATGATGTTCTCAATTATCTTAGCTCCCAAAATCTCTCACCTCCCAGTATGTGTATCTATTATTATTCTTCTCTCTCTCTCTCTCTCTCATTTTTTCCTTTCCTCCTCCCGATCTTCATCATCAATCTGATGTCTATGGACCTTCAAGGCATCCAACCATGGTCACAATCAATAACCTTTTCCGCTCACGTACAATAATATAACCAATGATACTTGAGAGTTGAGTTTCTCATGAAGTTACCATGGAAACGTGCTAAGACTTTCACTTTTCCTTTTCTCAGATGAAACTATTTATATAATAACATTATTATCATTAAGTTTCACCATTCTAAATACATCACTTAAGGTATAATACATTTACACATTACTATATACTAGTAGTAAGTAAGACTGTTACTTATGATCCATGAATATCTCATGTTAAGGTAAATTTTAATCTGAAACTTTAACTCAACCAGAGTGCACATGAACTTATTATGAATAAGCTTAATGAATTTACAATGAATATTTAAATTGTCAAGAAAATTTCACTATAATTCAGAAAAAAAAACAAATTCTCATTGTATTAATAATAAGATAATTATTATTTCTATCATATTATTTGTAGTAATTACTTTTCTATATGTTTACCACCAAATGATACAATCAAAATTGATCATCAAAGTCAATCAATTAAAATTTAGTTTCCAATTTGCCTTAGAAGAAAAAAGAAAACAGATTCTGAAGGTTAATCAGTTGATTTCACAAAGTTTCCTCAATCTTTATCATGTTGATTGGAGATAAATATCATGAGGTGAACAAATGTAATTACGATAATCATGATGACGATTGAAACAATTTACTCTGATAATCAGAGACCAGGAAGATACAAATTAACTTAAAAAGGTAAAAGATGAAAACAACAACAATGATACAAATAACAGAATATCTTTTCCCCCCTGAATACCTTGAAACATTCAGTTTGATTCAGTGAAGAAAAAAAGTTCTAGAGTTAAAATCGATTCCCTGATGAAGGTTAAACTAAAATGTTGCAAAGAAAATAAAAGTAAAAATAATTCTGTAAGTTTGTCAATTGAACAGAATGAAAAATAATTCTGACAACTAAACACAACAAGAATTGATTCAGAAGATTCTCAGAATTCTCAGGATTCTGGTTACCATGAAAAAGATGATAGAGAGAGAGAGAGAGAAAGTAACTACTATGATGGAGATAAATGGTAACTATTGGAATATGAAGGAGCAAATATAATAGAATAGAAAAATATTTAGAAGAAAAAAAAGTTTTCGAAACAAAATTTTTCTTCATCATTATAATCATCATATTCTTGAAAGATTCTGAACAAAATTCTTGAAACAAATAGTTCACTTGATTGAAACGAAAACACCAAAAGCTCAGAACATAAATAATCAATGAAATCAGAGAATAAGTTAGAACTTTTTTACATTTCGAATTTCCAATTTTTCGAACAAAATTTTCTCCTAAGTAGTAATAAACTGCTGGCTTTGGCTCATTTCATGAGCCAAAGCTCAGCAGTTTCATGAGTGTTATTATTTGAGGAAATAAATGAATTTAATAATTTTTATATTCATTTAATCATAATATTTTATATTAGATTAACTATTAAATCATAATTTTTTTACGATTCATTTATGATAAATGAAATTGATTAAATGTAAATATTAAACTTAATATTCAATTTAAAGATTTTTTCCTCAAGTTTTATATTGAAATATACTGAACTTCACACATTTTACGATTCGAATTAATTTCAATTTAGATTAAATTTCCTGAGTAATTAAATCATATACCGATTTGTATAAATACGAAACTGAAAATTGAAAAATTATCATTCGAAGTTTGATAACCAAACAGAAAAGAACGATATTAATTGATCAAAGTTTGAATTCATTGAGTTCGATTTCTTTTACATGAGATTCAATCTGAATTAAAAATGTAAGTATAGTTTGAATTCAATAATCAATAGATTATTATGTATAATAATTCTAATCATTTTTGTTTGATTATTTTTTCCCCTTTGTGCCAGCTTATTGTGCTTTCATCATTGGTTTTTTTTTTTACACCTGGTTATCGATAACGTTATCCAATAATCCATCAACGATAAAAAGTAAGGAAGAAAGTTATCTTAAGCTAGATTGAAGAGTTTGGAATGAAATTCTTTCAGTTTATGATCTCAATGATAATTTATCAGAACTTTTCAGTTCTTTTGATGAGTTTTCTTTGAAAATTCTTTCAGTTTATGATCTCAATGATAATTTATCAGAACTTTTCAGTTCTTTTGATGAGTTTTCTTTGAAAATTCTTTCAGTTTATGATCTCAATGATAATTTATCAGAACTTTTCAGTTCTTTTGATGAGTTTTCTTTGAAAATTCTTTCAGTTTATGATCTCAATGATAATTTATCAGAACTTTTCAGTTCTTTTGATGAGTTTTCTTTGAAAATTCTTTCAGTTTATGATCTCAATGATAATTTATCAGAACTTTTCAGTTCTTTTGATGAGTTTTCTTTGAAAATTCTTTCAGTTTATGATCTCAATGATAATTTATCAGAACTTTTCAGTTCTAGTCATGAGTTTTCTTTGAAAATTCTTTCAGTTTATGATCTCAATGATAATTTATCAGAACTTTTCAGTTCTAGTGATGAGTTTTCTTTGAAAATTCTTTCAGTTTATGATCTCAATGATAATTTATCAGAACTTTTCCGTTCTAGTCATGAGTTTTCTTTGAAAATTCTTTCAGTTTATGATCTCAATGATAATTTATCAGAACTTTTCAGTTCTAGTGATGAGTTTTCTTTGAAAATTCTTTCAGTTTATGATCTCAATGATAATTTATCAGAACTTTTCAGTTCTAGTGATGAGTTTTCTTTGAAAATTCTTTCAGTTTATGATCTCAATGATAATTTATCAGAACTTTTCAGTTCTAGTGATGAGTTTTCTTTGAAAATTCTTTCAGTTTATAATCTCAATGATAATTTATCAGAACTTTTCAGTTCTTTTGATGAGTTTTCTTTGAAAATTCTTTCAGTTTATGATCTCAATGATAATTTATCAGAACTTTTCAGTTCTTTTGATGAGTTTTCTTTGAAAATTCTTTCAGTTTATGATCTCAATGATAATTTATCAGAACTTTTCAGTTCTTTTGATGAGTTTTCTTTGAAAATTCTTTCAGTTTATGATCTCAATGATAATTTATCAGAACTTTTCAGTTCTAGTCATGAGTTTTCTTTGAAAATTCTTTCAGTTTATGATCTCAATGATAATTTATCAGAACTTTTCAGTTCTTTTGATGAGTTTTCTTTGAAAATTCTTTCAGTTTATGATCTCAATGATAATTTATCAGAACTTTTCAGTTCTTTTGATGAGTTTTCTTTGAAAATTCTTTCAGTTTATGATCTCAATGATAATTTATCAGAACTTTTCCGTTCTAGTCATGAGTTTTCTATGAACATTCTTTCAGTTAATGATCTCAATGATAATTTATCAGAATTTCTTTTAGAATTTTCTCATTAGAGCTATATAGTTTATTTTTGCTTTTTATTATTTAAGAAATGGTTGAACCGAACAAAGTGGACCCTAAAAAGGATTATTTGAAATCAAATCCTGAGAATAATGAAACTGTCTACAAGTACGAACTTGAACAAATAAAAATGATGACCAAATTGGTTCATTCGGGCATCACAACTGATCAGCTTTTCAATTTATACATAACATTAAAAGAAGACATGAAACCTTTAAACTTATCAAAGGATAATAATGGTGGAACTGACGAATGGGTTGGTCTTCCAAAAATTCCCGAAAACAAAGACAAAGATGCTAAGGATAAAAATAAAGATAAAAAAGTTAGAATTATCCAGCTGATAAGCAATCCTCCAAAATAGTCCATATGACAACTGATATTAAGGAATTTCATGGAAATTTTAGTTTTTCTTTATGTCTTCATTTACTCTATTTAGGTTTTTTTTAATTAGTTACTATTGTTATTTCTTATTTTATTCCATTAAGCGGTTAATTGCAATGTAATTCAATTCAACCCAAAATAAGATTTTTTTCGTCTTGTTGACTAGAATGGCTCAAGTTATGCTACCATCAACTTCAACTAAGCAAAAAGGTCAAAAGCGTATCGCTAAGAAAAAACCACCTCAAGATGAAGATATTGAAATTTCTATTGATCTACCGAAAGTTGTTAAAGAGACAGAAATGAAACGTAAAATTGATGAGGAAATGCGAGATGATGACTCGGAAACGGATGGTAGTACCACATCATCTGCTTCCAGCGGAAAAAGAAATCGTAGAAATGAAACAGTTGCGGCAATGGAAATGGATCTTTTCAATATACCAGGAAATCGTAATAAGCGACCTTCATCTGATTTCAATGTTCAAAATCAATTCAGAGTTTCGGACAATCTGGTTTTCTTCACAAGCTCAACTTATAGTGGTATCAGGACAGGTAAAATTAGAAAATATTGGTTGAAAGACGGGAAGCATCAGGTCTCAGCGTATGGTGGCGAGATGTTGAAAGCGGATATACCGAAATTTGTATCATGGTTACAAAAACCTATGCGACATGGCAAGAATGATGAATTGGTTGACTGGATTAACGCTCAATGGAACTATTAAGAAAACTTTTTGTTTATCAGAGATTAGATGTTTTAGGTTTTTTCAAAATTAGTAAATGTATCACTTTTGTTTAGATGTAGACGAATAAACTAATAAGCATTCAAAAATTTTGTCTCGATTTTCTGAACATTTAACTGGTTTAATAGCCAAATGATTTATTCACCCAACCTTTGTTTTAACGTTTTAAAATAATTTTGATTTTTTCTTATCTTTTCAGATGACTTCAATTTATGAAAAATATCGTACATGAGATCCAACCCTAAAAACTGAATGATTATTTCAATAAATTCATGATAAATCGTTGGAAAATAAATCAAAAAATGTCACGTCCTGCTCCAGCCTCTGTTAAGGAATTTTTATTGAAAAAGAGTAACACTTACGAAGCAATGCTGGAATATTTGAAAGTTCGATGTGAGGCCAGTCGTAACATTGATGGTAAAAAGGTCACTGGTCTTCTTGTTTCAGCTGCTCGTTTATTCGAAATCTTCATTACGCATTACAACGAGTCAAATATGGATGAACCATTTGAAGATTTCAAATTCATTGTTGATGATTTTAATGCCTTGTGTTCGGATATCAAGATTGTCCCGATTAAAAAAGAATAAATGTATGAATTTTGAAGTATTATGCATAGTCTTAGTTAAGAATATTTCTTGTCGAAAAATTTATTGTTATCATAACACAAATAGAGTTTTACAATAAATGTCATATAAGATGTAGATATTATTAATATTTTAAAATCTAATGTTATTTTTTTTTAATTAATCAAAGTTATTGTCTAAATCTATTTTTATATATTTAGTTTAAATCAGAACAAACTAATTTATCCTTCGAAACTATCCAAAATTTTAATTTATTCCAGTTGAACCAAATCCTGCGGTTCCTCTTCCAGTTTTCAGCAAAAATAGATCACAAGAAGAAAGCTCATAAGCATTATATACTTCGCAAAATGTGACTCTAGCTATCCTCTCACCAGCACTTATCAAAACAGGCGTCTTAGTCGTGTTAGTCAGATGTAATTTCAGCTCTTTGAATAAACTATTTTCCACAACATTTTCTGACGTATCAATTCCATCAATTGTAAACGATCGTCTTCCTGTGATAAATCCATAAGCATTTGGTCTAAAGTCAAAGCTTATTCCAGTCCAAACTATAGTACGAATTGAAGGTTCTAAAATTATATCTTTTGGTGCGAAAAGATTATAAGAAGCAGCGTTTTTACTAGCCAACTCAGGTAGCTTAATGTATCTAGCCTTTCGTGATACCAAGATGCTTTTTTCGTCGGTATCATTTTCGAGTTCAATAGGGAAAATGGTGTTGAGTTCGTCATAGCTTTTGTCGTATTCTTTCAATCCCAGACACGGCCATATTTTACAAAATATAATTTGCGCAAAACGATCTGCTAACTTAATTGTAAAAGGCAAAGCAGAGTTATTAATAATCAAGACTTTAATAATACCTTGATAATCCGAATCGATTATACCAGCACCAACGTCGATCCCTAGTATGGCTAAGTTCGATCGTGCAGCTAAACGTCCAAAATAGTCTAAATTCGTGGTGAAATCAATGCCAATGTCTGTTGAAACTAAACGTCTTTGTCCAGGTGGAATCGTCATACACTCAGCAGAGAAAAGATCGAATCCAGCTGCTCCATAACTTCCTTTTTGCGGTAAAATGGCCAAGGAACTGAACTTTATGTAACGTATAGGACTTTTTTCACACTTTAAATTTTGACTAGAAGATGAAGGTGGAGAAGAAAGAAACATTTTCGGTTCAACTGATTGTAATAAGAATTTTAATAACAGTGATTTAAAAACCTTTTTGAATCATTCTTTTATACCTCCCTGATCTTGATATTTTTTTATTTTTTCTACCGAAGATAAAATGACTGACAGATAATCTCTATTTTTTAATTTAAATTCTTGAGTTATAAAACATTTATTTCCTTTTTTTGATTTTCCTTATTCTTTATCTTATTTTTTTAATCCTATTTTTTACTTCATTTTATTACCTTATTTTTTCCTCATTATATTACCTTATTTTTTCCATCATTTTATTACCTTATTTTTTCCTCATTATATTACCTTATTTTTTTTCCATCATTTTATTATCTTATTTTTTTTCCTCATTTTATTACCTTATTTTTTATTTCATTTTATACCTTATTTTTTACCTCATTTCATTACCTTATTTAATATTTAATTTTCTTTTCTTTATTTCATTTCCTTATTTAGAACCATTTATTTAATTTCCTTATTCCATTTACTATTTTATTCACATTATTATTTTATTTCCCTTACTTTATTTCCTTATGTCTATTCGAATTTTATTGCTCTATTTTACCTTGAAAATAATCTTCCATCTTCCAGAATTTTTTCGCAATTAAACTTTATCACTTAGTGAGACGATCAAAAAGTATAAAAGCAAAGACATCTTATGAACAGTTTCATTCTAACTTTTCATTCGAATGAATGTATTAACCAGATGAGTTCTCATTGCAGTTAATAATCATTGAAGAAAAGATAATAATATATCCATTTTAATATACATATAGATATATATATGTATATATATATATATATTAAAATGGATATATTTACTAAAAGATGTAAGTTTTGTCGCAAAATTTACAAAAAGCTAGTAACTTATTATTTCATGAACAAATATGTAAAAGCCAGCAAACATTCGATCGTATAAATTTGAACTTTGATTTACCATCAAGTTATGTATTACAGAAACATGCTTTCAATAAAACGTTGAATGTTTTTATGAAAAAAGTTGAGAAAAAGTCATTTGATATTGAAACAATTCTCCAAAAAGAAGAAAGAAACATTAAATTGATTTTTGAGCAATGTTTAATACAATTTAAAGCTATCAAAGCTCAAATTGGTTTATTGTGTTGTTTTTACAGATTAGAAAACAATGAAACTGTTTGGATAGAATCCATGTTTAATTCAAGCTTGAAACCTCTGACAACAATTAAATTATTTAATGATTTTATTGACACAAGTTCAATGGAAATTTTAATTGACTTTGATTCCTTTACAAATAAAGGCAGTGGATGGAATTTGCTTTCGGTAAAAATGATTGAGTTGAGGATTGGTAAATATCAACCATTACAGGGAGGATGTTCACAACAGAAGCTTCCTCAATCTTTTATAGCAAAACGTTGTTTCTTACAACTAGATGTTAAAAAAGATTGTTTTATGTGGAGTGTTCTTGCTTGTTTACACCCCGTGAAGAAAAATGGAAACAGAATTAAAATTATACCCCATATGTTTCCAAATATGACTTCACCGGGTTTCGAAACTTCGTAAGTTTGCAAAAAGTCAAATATTTTGAACGCAAAAATGATGTAACAGTTAATATTTACACATTAACATATGACTGGGGCAAGACAATCCCGATACCTCTATATGTTAGTAATATAACACGTTCAAAAAAAGTACATTTATTGTTATTCAATGAACATTATTATCCAATAAGAAATTTCAACCGGTTTATAGGTGAAAAAACTCACGATATCATCATTTCTGTGATAGTTGTTTGAATGGATTTCCATCATCACTAAGTTTACTAAAACATGAACAAACTTGTTATCAATTCAAATCTCAAAGAATATTATTACCTGAAATAGGAAGCAAACTGAAATTTGACTCTTTTGATAAGCAATCATTTTTTCCTTATGTCATATATGCAGATTTTGAAACTCTTTGTTGTCCTAAAAATTCAGATTTGAATCGACAAACTTTTGAATATCAAGAACATAAGCCTTCAGGCTTTGGTTATGTTATAGTAAATTATAAAAATGAAATAACAAACTATCGATCTTATCGAGGAGAAAAGTGCGGATATCATTTCTTGAAGACATTAATCAGTGATGTTAAGACGTTATTAAGTTTAATTGCTGAAAGAGAAAGAGATTTCTATATGAGTGAAGAAGATACTAAAAACTTTGAAATTACCGATGTTTGTCATATTTGCAACAAAGAAATAATTAAAGGAGAAGTTAAAGTAAGGGATCATGATCATTTTACTGGAAAGTATAGAGGGGCAGCTCATTCTCCATGTAATCTGAAGATGGCTACCCCAAATTACATACCAGTAGTATTTCACAACTTGAAAAACTTTGATTCACACATAATCTTAAAAGCAATAGAGAAAGAAATGTTTACTAAAGTTAAGATTATTCCACAAAATATGGAAAAGTATATATCATTCAAACTTGATAATATTTGTTTTCTTGATAGTTATGCTTTTCTTGCTAGTTCTCTAGATGAGCTTGCAGGATACTTGAATGATGATTTAAAAAATTCATATCTTTTACAATTATTCAACGTCAAAGATCTAAATTTTGTCTGCAAGAAAGCTCGATTACCGTATGACTATTTAGACAGCTTTGATCGATTCAATGAAACATCACTACCACCTATATCAGCGTTTTATAATAAGTTAAAATTCGAAAATCTCGATCCAAAAATTTATCAAAATATGTGTGATCTTTGGCAACATTTTGATGTAGTTAACATCGGACAATTTCAAGACATTTATCAGAAAATCGATGTAGTTCTATTAGCAGCTGTTTTTGAAAATTTCAGATCAATCAGTGTAAACCAATTTCAGTTAGATCCATTACATTTTTTTTCTTCGCCTGGTCTTACTTGGTCAGCTGCTTTAAAAAAGACAGATGTCGAAATTGATTTACTAACAGATTTAGACATGATAATGATGTTTGAAAAGGGTATTCGAGGAGGTATTTCTTCAGCAATGACCAGATTTACTAAAGCGAATATACCAAATTATCCTGATTATGATAAATCACAAGAAAATAGTTATATTACATACCTAGATGTTAACAATTTATACGGTTTCGCATTGCAACAGAGTATGCCTTATTCAGATTTTCGTTTTGTTAAAGAAGAAAATTTTAAACATTATTATCATAGATTCGTCACAGAGACTATAACCCATGAAAGTGAGGAAGGAACAGTTTTTGAAGTTGATATAACATATCCATCATTTCTACACGATGATCATAATGACTACCCGCTCGCTCCCGACAAAACAAAAATTGACGATAATTTGTTGAGTGAAACTCAACATGAAATTTTAATTTCAACCGGTAGGAAACGAACAGTATGTGAAAAGTTGATTCCATCTTTTCTAAAAAAGTCCAAATATGTTGTACACTATAAAAATTTAAATTATTATGTTAAAAAAGGTTTAGTAGTTACAAAGATTCACCGAATCATTTGTTTCAAACAAAAACCCTGGCTTAAAGATTATATTGTTCTTTGTACAAAAATGAGAATGCAATGTTCTTCTCCTTTTGAAAAAAACTTTTGGAAACTCATGGTTAATGCAATATACGGAAAATCTATTGAAGATGTCAGAAAACATTCAGATGTTCGTTTAGAACTTAATAAAAATGGTGTTATGAAACAACTACGCCGTCCTATGTGCCAACGTTTCTACATTCTTGATGAAAATAAAGCCCTTTTCAAGCTACATAGAACAAAATGCTTGTTGAATAAACCAATATACATAGGTTTTTCGGTCTTAGATTTTTCTAAGCTCCATATGTATCAACTTCACTATGATATATTCAAACCAAAATATCGTGATAAAATATCTCTTTTATACACCGATACCGATAGTTTCATATATCATATAAAAACCGACAATGTTCATGTTGATTTTATGGATTTAAAATGCATATTCGACTTTTGTGACTATCCAAAAAATCATATTTCCAATTTATACAATGAATGTAATAAAAAAACTCGGATATCTAAAAGACGAAATGAATGGTAAACATATTCTAGAGTTTATTGCACTTAAGCCTAAAGTATATGGAATTATTTCAGAAGACAATATCAAAAACAGCCAAAGGGTACAGAGGAGTGTGTTAAAAGACAAAATCACTCTTGATGATTATAAAGAATCACTTTTTGATCATAAACTATTCTTCTTCGACATGCGATACATTCGTAGTCAACAACATGATATATCATCTATTCAAAGCAACAAACTAGCCTTGAATCCCTTCGATGATAAACGTTATTTGAAACCAGATGGCGTTACAACATATGCATTTGGACATCATGCAATTCACCGTGAATCCAATAAATGACGGTAAAACTAGGTAAGTGATCATAACCATGAACGGTCTTATTTCAGCAACATTATTAATAATAACTTTAATCATAATAATAATTTATTCTACTTATTCACCTTATTTTCTAACTTATAATGCAACAAATTTATCCATCTCTTAAAATAGTAAATATCGCCTCTGTTTGGAATCTGCATCATCCTGTTAAAATTGAGGGAAAATCCGGTAAAAAAAAAAAATTTAATGCTGATATCATAAGAGATGGTAAAAAGAGACTTCTTGTTTTCGGATCTGGAAAAATTATTGCGACAGGATTTAAAACTATCAGGGACGCGGGAACCTTTATCAACAATATCTACCCAGAAGCAATATTTGAAAAAATATCAGGATCTTGTGCGGTTATAAAATTTGATAAAATAATAAAAGCTTCAGAAATATTCAAAAGTGATCTGAAAGTTTCATATGAGCCTGAGTTATTTCCTGCTATAATGTGGAAAGAAAATGGTACAGCATTCAATTATTTCCATAAAGGCTCTTTAGTAATAACTGGAGCGAAAAGTTATTCACAGCTAAATAAATCATTAGATCTTTTTTGTAAACGTTTTTGCTTTGAAAAAGAAAAAGCGCTAGAAAATACAACTGTATAAGAAAAAAAATTAAAAATTAATAAAAGTATTTTAAACAAACTAAAATGAAATTATATGATATTTATTTGAAACACCCTTTTACAATGATTATTGCTGGTCCGTCAGGATCTGGTAAAACGTTATGGGTAAAGAAATTTCTTGAAAATGTTTCTCGATTTTCATATCCTATGCCTGCGCGAATAACTTATTTTTATAGTGAATATCAGGAAATATTTAATCATCTTAATAATGTTAATTTCATTTCTGGATTATCTGAAAACATATTAACAAGTTTAGATGGTGCTCAGCCAGAGTTGTTTATAATAGATGACTTAATGAATGAATCTTCAAATTCAAAAATTGTCTCTGAATTATTCACAAAAAAAAGTCATCATAAAAACTGTTCAGTGATTCTTATTGTACAAAACTTTTTTGTTAAAGGGTCTGAAAGCCGCAATATTTCATTAAATTGTAATTATTTTGTTTTATTCAAAACCCCAGAGATAGATCGATTGCAACTAACATTGCAAGACAAATGTTTCCTTCGCAATACGGAAATTTCGAAACATCTTTGAAGATGCAACTTTAAAGCCTTATTCTTATCTTTTCATTGATACTAAAACACAAACACCAGATGAAGTTCGCTTGCTCACTGATGTTCTTGGTGAGAAAAATTTGTTACTGCTTATCAAATATAGATTATATAAGATTTAATCTTAAAATCATTTATTATATCATTTGAAAATGACTGTTCAAAGTGCGATTTCTTTTACCCTGTGCTTAAAAATTAAGTAAAGTAAAGACTGATAAGAAGAGAAAACAAATACTAGATAAATGTCCGTAAAATATATTCAACAATAAGTGATATTAGTAAAATATCTTGAAAGGAAACATTCCCTCAAAGCGAATCAGAAAAGAAGACTTAAACCATATAAGAAAGTTCTTAGAAAATTAGGAAAAAGTTCTTCTTTAAAAAATAAAAAAAAGATAATCATACAACATGGTGGTGCTCTTCCAGCTCTTTTAATTCCTGCAATATCGCTTCTTGCTGATATTGTAGCACGTAAATTTATAAAATGAACACTTTGACTAAAATGGTTCTTATTTCAGAACGAGAATATAATAAAAAATGTCTACCAGATAATGCATCAGACATAAAACCAATATTAAATGCGAATTTAGCTGACGAAATGAAAGTTAGATTGATAAATCAAATTGTTCATAGATCATTAGAGAATCGTGAAAAGAAACTTGAACAAGATGGAGAAATCAGAGATCAAATAAGCGATTTCATCAAAAACCATGATATTCAACATAAGTTACCAAATCAATATCTTAAAAAACCTGTAGTTTATGAAGATGAAAATGATAATTTTAATGAAAGTATTACATCACCAGTTAAAAGTTTTAAACCAGTAGCCACATCAACACCATCGGTCAGACAACAAGATTTTGATGTATCAGATGATAAGTATGAGAGTATTTTACCATCAACATCGACACAATACGATTCGACAGAAAATACGCTGTTAAATAAAACCTCACTAAATTTAGCTGAAATCGAAGAAGCTATAAGAAAGATACCAGGTCTGGTTCAGGACGATAACATACTTAGAAACGATGGAACGCCTATGCATAACTCTAAGTTGAGTAAAGTTTTACCTTTCCTATTTATGTTTAAAAAATCTGATTTGACTAAAATTCCAACACCTCGTGGAGTGCTACGAGTTCTAGATGCACTGCAATCATATCCTGATTTAATGAAAAGATTGATAATAGCAGTTACCTTGCAAAAAGAATTTACAAAGTAATATTCAACAAACATGGAAAGGACTCTCAAAAATATCTACTTCACAGTAAAAAATCCTGGCTCATTAGGAGGTATTAATAGACTCTACAGAGAAGCGAAAAAAATAAATCCTGACATTTCATTTGAGACTGTAAAATCTTGGTTAAAAAAACAAAACGCATATAATCTGTTCAAGGAAGTAAGAAAACCGTACCCTAGACTACCAATTATCGTAACAAATATTGATGAACAATGGCAAATCGATTTAATGGATATGTCATGGATATCAAGAGAAAATAGTGGTTTCAAATACATTCTAAATGTTATCGATTGTTTCAGTCGTTTTGTTTGGGCCAGAGCTTTGAAAACAAAAAAATCAACTGATATCATCAAAGCATTTGAAGATATTTTATCCAAAGGGCGTGTACCTCAAAAAATTCAAAGTGATCAAGGGAAGGAGTTTAAAAATGAACCAGTTAAAAAATTCTTCAAAAGTTTTAACATAAATTTTTTTTACGCAACTGACGGTGAGATTAAATGCGCAATAGTTGAAAGATTTAACAGAACATTACGCAATAGATTATATAGATATTTATATTATCAAAATACGCATAGATATATAGATGTCCTTGAAAATATAATCGATGCATATAATCATTCCTACCACCGAATAATACAGATGACGCCATCTGAAGTCAATGAAAGTAATCGTTCAAATGTTTTAGCTAATATAAGAAAGTCTCATCCTAAATTCAAAGATAGAAGAAAACCCTATTCAATTGGTGATACAGTTCGCATATCTCGTGATAAAGAAAAATTTGAAAAAGGTGCTACAAGTACATTTACTGAAGAAATATTCAAAGTTGTAAAAGTGAAAAAATCTCCACAAGGATATATTTATCGACTTTCTGACTACGAAGGTGAACCGATAACATCAATTTTTTATCATTCTCAGTTATTACATGCTAACGAGCCTGATCTATTACAAGTTAAAGTATTAAAGACGAGGATAAACTCTAAAACTAAGAAAAAAGAATATTTTGTGAAGTGGATTGGATACCCTGATAAATTTAACAGCTGGGTTAAAGATGTGGAATCAATCTGAAGAACATTTTGTAGAAGTGGTTTCTAATGATTCACTGGACCATTTTCCAGAAAATACCCTTAGTAAATTCTCGAATAAACTACCATATTCATTGAAGTTAGATGGTGACTGGGTAGTTGGGGTACAAGAAATATTTTATCCTGTTGATGTTAGACCATCGTCATTTAAACTAGAAGTTCAACTGCTATCTAACAATTCTGTTACTGGAAAAATGATAACCGATATCGATTTAGAGGAAACAGACGATACACATAAAATTATCGAGAAAATAAATAGAGCTCTCCTCGATTTATATAACGATAATACAAGCAATAAACGAAGTAAAAGATCAGTTGAGCAAACTCTTGATAATAAACAGATTGGTGATAATAAATCCAATGTAAACGAGCCTAATGAAAAAAGTAACTCAGAAACGAATTCTGAAAATTTGCAAAATCAATCTTCTGTTAATACATTTGAAACTATTTGGTCACCTGAAACTCAACCAAATGTAGATATTAACACCTTCGTAGCTGAATGGGATGCTAAAAAACTTAGAGAATTGTCAGACAACGAAAGAAGAAATATTTTCAAAACTTTGAGAGAAAAATTCAAAGATAAAATCGATTTACAAAGTTTATACAATGAAATGGACAAGTATGAAAAACAGACTATTGAACAACAACAGCAAATCGATAAATTACAAGCATCACTCAAGCAATTTGTTCAACAAGTTCATGATTTACAAGATCAAATCGGGAAAAAAGCTTCATTCAATAATGAGAAAAATTCAGAAATCGAAAGTATCACAAGACTCAAAGACAATACCATTCAAACATTAAGAGGTCACATTCAACGTCATGAAGAAACTATCGAAAATATACGGAAAGAGATTAGATTAGAAAAGAACTCAATCACAATCTTAATATTCAAATAGCTAAACATGAAAGAGATATGGAATTTTCAGAAAACATATCAATGATTCAGAAGAAAGACAGAAAATATACTTAAGCTTGAGGAAAATAAGAGACAACACGAAGCGTTTTAGCAGAAACAATAAAAGAGAAAATGAAGAGAAAATACGAAGAAGAAATTGAAAATTTGAACAAACAAATAACTGAGCTTAAAAAAGTCCAGAATGAGAGTCAAAAACTATGAGATGGAAAATAATCAATCAATAGATGTAATATCTAGTAAGGTTGCTGAGCTCAACAAATGTAATGATAATATTACACTTTTAAATACTAAATTCAATACATTGATAGAGCAACGAGACAAAGAGATCAAAGAAATTAAAGCTTATAATTCTACAAGAAGAAAGAGATAATCTTAACAAAATGAATATTGCTAATAATGATACTTTGATCAATTAAAATTGAAAATAATGAACTGAAAGGAAAAAACCGAGTTGCTATTCGAGTTAGAGAATAAAACTAAAACATCGAACAAATTCTGAATGAAACAGAACGAGTTAAAAGATCTTTGGAAGAAGAAAATCTAGAGTTGAACAACAGGGAAGATTCTTTACTGCGATTATCCGAACTTATTATCAGTAAAAGTAAGGGTAAAATATTGAGAAACCCACTGATATAGAATCAGTTCCGGTATCTCCTATAATGATGGTAAATAATCATTTTCCAGGAGTGCATGAAGGAAATATATTTGTTCCTATTTTCCAGATATAAATTTCATTTCTGCTCTAGGATTTGATTCTAATTCGTATTTGCAAATGCTTCAATCTTTCAACAATGGAGCTAAATCCTTCACTGTGAATAATTGCAACCTTAATTTGCGTTCTCATTTAATGTTTATTCATTCAGACATTGTAGCTGAACATTTTGTTGAAATAAATCTGCACGTGTTCTGAGAGTTCTTCCATTAAAACGAGGTGATAAATCAGAAATTGTTCATGAGAGATTTCAGCCATTTTATTATCCACTAAGAACTAACCGTATCGATGATATAAATTTTTACTAACTGATGAGATGGGTAATCAAATAAAATTCGCATCAGGCCGAGTTCTTATTGGTTTACATTTGAAAAGAGTTTGAAACTATATAAGAAAAACTGTAATACTAATTAGCTATTGAAATGAAATAAAGATAAAATGCAAAGAAAAGTTTATTGTTCTTGTGATTCTAATTTCACCACTTTTATAAAACTCAAGCTGGTTCAGGGTTTTGATATCAGTGTCTATAGAGGTTTTCCATATCAAAGAGGTTATGGTATTGGTACTTTAATCAGAAGATTTGGAATACTGATTCTCAAAATGTTTGGTAAACATGCACTAAAAACTGGAGTAAATGTGGGACAAGATATCTTAGATAAGAAAAGAAATATCAAACAAGTTTTAATAGGGCTAAACAAGGTTTAAAGGAAGCTGCTAAAGAATCATTATCTAAAACATCTGATTATATAGAGCAAAAAGGCTCTGGTGTTAAACGTAAAAAAACATATAAGAAAAATAGAAGTAAGAAAAGAAAAGTAAATAAAAAAGATATTTTTGACTAATATGGAGTATCTACATCAATCATCAATGCCTGCAAGTAAAAGTGAACTTTCTATATTCGTTGTTCCGCCCACCCAAGTCGCCATTGATACATACTATGAAGTTGACTATAGACCAGCTGCTAGTTTAGAAAACGGAAAGACTTATGAGCTTAATATTCCTGCATCTGAAGATTTCACTGACTTAAGTGCTACAATGGTTCATATTAATTTGAATATTTTGAATGATAAAGGTCAAATAGTGGACAAAGAAAATACAGTTAAACTTGTGAATAACTTTGGTAACGCGCTATTTGAACAAGTTGATCTTATTCTAGGAACTGTCAATACTTCCTTAGCAAATAATATGTATCATTATCAAGCTTATCTTGAAAATTTATTATACCGTCATCCTTGTGAAGCCGAAAAAGGTGTTATCAATAGGAAACAAACGTTCAACCTAATAAAACTTATGAACTATACTTTAGATTAAATGCCTATGTGTACACAAGACAAACTTCTATTGAATGGTGTACCCATCATATTTAAGTTCACTAGAAGCACCTCAAGTTTTCCTTTAATTTCAATTACTGATACAAATTATTCTGTTAAAATTAACGCCTTTTCTCTGATATTGAGACGGGTTAAACTATATCCTGATGTCCAAGTTTCAATTGCGAAAACTTTAGAATCATTTGCTAAATATTTTGTAACTAGATCTGATACAAAAGGATTAACAATTTCCAAAGGAGTTTCTAATGTAACAATTGAGAATATTTTCATTGACAATTACCAAAACGGATCATCATTGATTCGTCGATGATAAAAGTTTGAGTGGTGATATTCAAAAAGATCCTTGGAAATTTGACCATTTCAATATTAATCATATCTGTTTAAATATTGATGGTGTATTATATCCAAGTATCCCATATACACCTAATTTTGAACAAGATAATGCGGTCAGAGAATTCGTTGATCTATACCGTGTTCTTGGTCAAGATGATGGAGTTCCTCAAATGAAATTAGACTATGAAAAATATTTGAAAAGTACTGTTCTATTTGCTTTCGATATAGGTGGTGACTTAGGAGCAGAGACTGGTGTATTATCTTTAATTAAAAGAGGAAAGGTTAGATTAGAAATAAGATTTTCTAAAACATTAGATAAGTCTGTCAAAGCCATTATTTTTGGACAATATGATAATCTAATAACGATAGACAAAGATAGACAAGTAACAATAGATTACTAAAATGCTTACGAGCATAGATATTAACAATGCTTTGAAAAATATAAATGGTTTGGTGGTGTTTACCCAATTGATCGTTTACCACATCTTACCATAAAACCTAAAGCTTATGTAATAAACTTAGATGAAAGCTATAAAGAAGGATCACATTGGGTTGCTGTACATTTCAATAACTATGGTCGTGCTTTATATTTTGATTCATTTGGACGTCAGCCTGATGGTTTGATTTTGACATTTATAGAACGTAATGCACCAAATGGATACAGCCATTCATCCATGAAATATCAAGGAAATGATTCTACAGCGTGTATATTTTTGTGTCTTATTCGTAATCTTGGTTAATAGAATTAGAAAATTTTTTCATTGTTTAAAATTTGTAAACATTCAATGAATGAAAAATATTGAAAAATATTTTGACTAAAATTTTAATGAAGATGATTATTAAAATGTATAACCAATTTTAAATGAATAAAGATACTGTTGAGCTTTGGCTCATGAAATGAGCCAAAGCCAGCAGTTTATTACTACTCCCAATATAATTTATTGGGAAATTTTGATTATCTTTTTTGTAAAATTTCCACTCAGGTAAACAATTTATCGAATTAATTTTTTGACTCATAAATGATTAATCGAAATGATGAAATTGAATTAATTTAAATTCCTTTGGAATAATTAGATTAATTAAGTTAATAATTAAGTTTAAACTGTTAATTAGTTTTATAAATGAAACGTTTTTTTATTAATTGTTATAATACTTTCTTGCCAATTGTATTCAGTTAATTGTGTAAGTGTGAAGGTAACAAAAATTTAATTTATGATTGTGTTAATTGTTAGTTAATCATTTGCTTTGTGCTAAGTGCTCAGTATAATATATATTCATAATTACAGGTTGTACATTTGTGATTAGTTAATTTAGTTACAATTAAATTTCAATTTAAGGGAAACAATCAACAAATCATATGTTAATCATGATTAATAATCATTTGTTTTCAATAAAATTTACAATCAATAAAACTAATAATTGATGTTACTGATTGATGAATGATCAACAATTAATGGAAACAAATTAAGAATCAATTTAATTAGATTAAATTTCACTTAATCTGTTGAACAATTAGTTGGATTAAATCGTAACAATTTAGTTGATTTTTTTTGTTGTTTGTTGTTCAATTTCTTGTTTATCCAGTGATGGTAACAAATCAAGAGACAATTAAAACTGCCTCGAGCAATTAAACTAAATTAAATGATTGAATAGAAAACAAAAAAAAACAATAAATTATTCAGTAAACATTGAAAAATTTATCGCCTTAGGCTGTTACCTAATTGTTATCATAATCAATGCATACGATTAGTTTAATTGTAACAATAAAAATGGTGGTTTGATTGTCTTTGGGTAACAATTAAATTAATTATTTCACAGGTTTAACCAATGTTTTGTTTTGTTTTTAATAACAATCAAAGTTAATCACAATTAATGCACAAATATTTTTCAATTCCAACAATCAATCAAATTGTGTTGGTTAAAGGGCTTAATTTTTTTTTTCATTGTTTAATTAGTGATTTAATTTAATCAACAGCATTTTAAATTGTGATTGTAAGAAAATAAACTTAATAACATATCATAATTATCATTAATCAAAGTTTCTTGTTGTTGTAAGTGTTTAGTTAATTGTTATAATCCAAATGATAATCAACATTATCAATTAAAAGTTTGTACACTTTGGTTTTTTTTAATTGTTATTATTTGAATTTTTAATTGGCAGTTTGATTTGTTAATTGTAACGATGATAAAAACTGCCAAGAGTTGATTGATTTTTGTTGTTTCTCTGGTTTCTGATTAATTAAATGATAAATAATGTAAACAAATTGTTCATCTAAATTGTTACCAATATGAATATCAGTTAAATAAATTGTTGTCATCGAGATTGTTTCAATTTAACCCTCAGGCTAAATTCAATGCTCAACAATAACAACAACAATTTGACAATTAATTGTTGACATTATCTATCATTTTTTCATCTTGTTGTCTCATATTAGTTAAATTGTGATTGGTTAAATGTTTGCTAATTAATCAGCTTTGCTTTTAATTGCATATCACTTGGAGTAGGTGATTAGGTTAATTGTATATAAACAATTTACAATATTATCATGAAATCATCTTGATTATTATTATAATTGTTAATCATTTCATTTGATTTTTGTTTAAGTAAATTTTTTCAGCTCATTCAAAATATATTAATATCTTTGTGTATGTGTGTATATATTAGATATTGGAGTAATTAACAATAATAAATTAATTGTTCAGTGTTAATTTGTTTAGTGGATTCATTTGATTAATACTTTTTCAGTTTGACTTTTTGTTTTTCTCAATCAATAACATTATAAGTTATAGTATATTAATTTAGATTTGTACATAATTGCTCAACAATGTTAATGATTATCAGATGATTTCAAGATTAATAGTAAATTATTGATATAACAATTAACTGTTGGAAGATTAGTCTTGAGTTAAGAGTGTGATAATTAATCCTAATCAAGATTTGGTGAATTAACTTTCATCAAGTTTCAACTCTAAAACAATAAGTGAATTTAAAGTGTTAATAAATTGTGTGAATTATCATCATGATTAACAGGAGAAGAAGAAAAAATTAAAGGTGAGATGTGATAACAAATTTTATAACAGTGATGATTATGGTATAGATGATAAGTCATGAAGATGATGAAGATAAGAGATGATGAGAGAGAGAGAGAGAGATTCTGAATTGTTTAAATGAAACATTCCATTTTCGATGCTAACTTGGATTCTGTCTCCACGTTATCGTACATTTCGAGCTCATTTTCCATCTCTTTTGAAAGATCAATCAACTGTTTCTCATGGAGTTTTTTCAACTTCTCTTTTTCCTTATTCTGTCTCATGGCGGCACTTTTACGCTCTTCGATAAACTTTTTCGTATTGTTGGAATTTTTCTCCCTCAAGCGTCTTTCTCTTTCTGCTTTATTCCGAAGGGTTCGATCTTGAGCAACCTCTTTTGCCGTTTCAACGGAAACTTTGGCCTGACGTGTTTTCATCTCCTTGTTTTCTCGTTCAAATTTAACCTCCAATTGTTTCATCTGATTGGTTTGAGCAGCAACTAACAATTTCTCCAGGCAATCACCTAATTGTTTCCTATTTTCTTTCATCAATTCTAACTCTTCTTTACGATGTCTCTCAACCATCTCGGACCATTGTTTGGTTTGATCGATGACCATGTCTTTGATTACAGGGTCATTGGCTAGGTCATGATTATTTTTACCATTCTGTTTAACTATTTTATCCACAGCGGAACATTGAATCTTTTGGATACCCTGTTTTTCCTTGTGATGCTTTTTGCGTAAACTTTCAATCATCTTATCTTGTTTCTTAACCATCTTCAGGTAAATCTTATCATTTCTCAGATTTTCCAATGATATTGGTTTCATTTGAAATTCTTCAGCTTTCTCTTTTTCCTCTCTCTTCTTGTCCGAAACGGTCACTGCTTGGGTTGTTTGAATGTCCGTCTCCTCGATGCCCATTGCCTTCATTTGGGCCATTCGTTTCTCTTGGGCTGAAAGGAAGGCTCGAGGATCGGACAAAGCATCCATTAGATCACCAAGTCCATCGGGAACATAAATTTTAAGCTCAATACAGATAAACAACATAGGCAAGGACATTGGAAAGTTACCTTCGGTTCGAAGTGATATATGACGATAACCCGCCTGCAGGCCATCCATGGGCAGTATCCGTTGACCTAACATTTTACCATTTTCATCATAAACACCTATTCGTATCACAGCAAGATCGGGTAGAACCACTTTACGGAAAACAAAAGGCTCCTCATTGTAGACCGGATTCAGACCATTATTTGGTACCATTCGAGTTCGAAACTCTTTTCGAATGGTATCTGTTGGTAGACCATACATATCAACCTCTACATAAGTTCCAACCTTTTTATCGGATAAAAATTGGCCCGAGATAACTCGAACTGAACACTGAGCGGCAATAACACCATCTACCGGAGATTCAGCGAAAGGATCAAAGGTACGATCTTTACGCCTCATGAAATCGGGTTTCAATAAGTAGCCACAGCCACCATTGTATTCAAATTTACCCTGATTCAATTGCATGGGAAGATCGGAAGTTTGAAAATTAAGGGCGACCATTTGACAGCCTGCGTTCCAAAAGATTTGAGGTAAATAATTGGATGAATCGGCACGGGTTCCCTTTGGATAGATTCGAGATAATTGTCGCTTATTATAGTTGACAAACTCAATGGCCTGAGATTTAAGATAACCCAGTGCAGCGGTTTCCGCGAAAGAGGACATATGATAATGGATATTTGATTCTTCGGCAGTTTCGAAGCCTTGAAATTTAATGGGCTGCGTGTAATTAACTAACGACGATAAATATGGATGGACATGGACTGTTGCTCCAGTGTATTGATAATTTTGTAGAGCTAATTGCTCCGGAGGCACTTCTTTTTTATCTAAATTAACCAATATATAATCCAAATATTACACAAAAGAAAAAGAAATTAATTAATTATCCAAAATGACAGAGATTACCAACAATTAATCAAAAGCATAAAAAAGGATAATATATTGTTACCATTAGTCTGGGGAAAAAAGTTCATCATTGAGACTTACATATTGAATTCTTATGCTAAAAGCTCAGGCTGATGGTGAAAGTTAATAGTTGAAGGGTAAAACATTAGAGAAAAATTCTGATTCAATTTAATCTGCAGATATAAAGTGATTACAATCAACTGAACTCGAAGAGTCGGTTTATTGATAAATGTTTATATTCATGAAATAATGAGGAAATTGTTGGAATTCAATTAATCATTAAAAATTAATCATCAAACAGTAATTTCAGGAAAGGAGAAGCAGAAAATATAAACAAAAGATTCAATTATTCATGATGATAATTGTAAATCGTAACATAAAATGTAAGCAGATGAAACAATTATACATCATGAGAACAATTGAAATTGTAATAGAATTTAATTACGATCAAAAGTCAACAACAAAAAAAAATAATCAACAATTTATTGATTAATTGTGAGAATTCAACAGCCAATAATAATGACCGTTTCTTGTAACGAAGAAAAGAAAATAGCATGAAATTCATGATGGAAAAAAAACTTTATCGATTGATTTCAATTTATATAACAAATAGTTATCATCATTATCATCAATGATAATTGAATATTCATCAAGTTTCATCAGTTTTTCAACATTTCAATAATAATAATCAGCTTATAATAATATTAAACGTTAGCTGTTATCATGTTTATATTAACATGATAATGTATGGATATAATTTATAAACCAGAATTTTCTGATAAGATAACATAATAAATGGCAAGTATATTAATATATAGTAAAAAAGAAGCCTAATAAATTGTTGAGATGATGAAATACTATAACAGTAATCACAATAGTGATACGAATGATAATATTGAACAAATATCATCATCTTTCAGGGAGGGAAAAAGAAACCACTTCAAAAAATCAAATTGAATAAATCACATCGAGGGAGAGAGAGAGAGAGAGAGTGAAAGTGAGTATGAGATTGAGAGAGAGAGAGAGAGAGACAGGGAATGAGGCTAGAAAACTGGATTTACCTTTTAAACTTAGTGAGGATTTAACAAATTTACAGTTAAACCTGTAGAAAGACAGAGTATTAATATTAGAATAGCAACAAAATTTCCTCGACAATACTGATTTCATGGTGTGTCCTATGAACCATAAAACTACTCAGAGATACAGGGGGAAAAGCTGAACTTTTCAAAGTTCAAGAGACAACAACAAAAACAAAACCCAAAGGTGTGAAAAGAAACAACAAACTTACAAACATAATGGTAACATAAACTTACCATTAATGTAAAGGAAACTGGTAGAAAAAATCTACTAAGAGATAATTCAGTTCATTTCATTCAGATAATGATGGTTACATGGAAATTTCAATTGCTAATGAATATCTAGGATGAAAAAGGAGGTATTATTATTTTCTCAAACCATAGACATTGATAAACATAAATGAAGTGGAAGTGGAGCTTTTTTTAATTTGATAATATTCTCATTGTTCATATTCTCCAATCATAATGAGAGTTTATAATCAACAGAGAAAGTCCATGAAATTAATCAGGAAAACTGATTTTTTTTCTTTCTCATCCCTTTCATTGGAATCAGGAGATTTCTCCCTTTCTCTAACCTTCCATAATCTTCCACCTTCCTCCTTCATTTTACTCCTACGATTTTCATAATGATGATGATAATATAATTAATAATTAACAACATTATGCTCTTACTTGCAATTTATATTACAAGATAACATAATCTGAATGGTGAATATAATGAAATAAAATGGTAAAAGAAGATGGAGAAACAATTGGATGAGGAGAAAAAAGTGCATCCAGAAAAGGTTAAAATTATCATATTATCGTCATGATTACTATGAAAATCACCGAGAGAAAGTTAATATACATAAACACACCGAAAAATTATTGTTGACACGAAACAGAGGAAGACAATGAATTCAGGGAGTAAGAGTCAAGTTAATAAACAATGTTTGATTGTTGATGGTTACAATAGTTGAAAATCATCATCATGTTCATGAAGAAGATGATAAATGAATAAATACATGAAGTGATTTCATCTATTGTAGTTCAGTAGTGAAAAAAGTATTGTATTTGTTATATGAGAGGAGGATGAAGAAAGAAAGAGAGAGAGAGAGAGAGAGAGGAGTGGGAGGAAAATGATCAAAAATTAACAAGATTAACTATTCATTATTCAATTGATCGATTGATGATTCAGTTTTTCATATTCTCTCTTCAAGAAAGAAACCTTTTATATACCAGGAATGATGAACTAGTTTGTTGTTAAGCTCAAGATTCTGATATTCAGAATCTTTACAAAGCTAAATGAAGCGACTAAGAAGGTAACAATATTGGAAGTTAAATATCATTATGGTTTCGAGGATGATGGTTGAAGATAAAGAAAATAAGATGAAAGAAACTCACCTAAATCCACTTCACTTGGAACTGCATTTGGATCTTCTTGTTCATCGTCATCATCAGCTTGTAATTGACCTTTTTTCCATAATTCAAGTTCAACTAAAGAAGACGATAATATAAAAAAAATGATATAAAAACATTAATAAACGAGGAAAAAGAGATGATGATCATTTAGATGTAATATTATCATCTAAAGAAATCAACTCATCTATTAGATATAATAGAATAAATGGAGGAAAAGAAAAAAGAAAAAGAAAGTAGCTAAAACAGGAAGTAATCAGAGTGTAAACTTCTGAGACCGGAAACAGAATTGATAAAAACAGATAACTTACTTTTTTCCATCTCTGGTTTAAGTCGCTTATTTTTTATTAAAATTTTCCTCTTAAGATCATTGGGAGTCGGTAAAGGAACAGTATTGTCAAGCTGGAGGAAAGTATCAAGTACAATTGAGAATAGATAAATGTTGATATGAGATGATCATAATTGTTGTTGACAAAATTCATGGTGGAAAAATCATGAAAAAAGAGATAAAAGAAATAAAGAGAAAGAACAAAGTAAATTAATTATATCAACCATTGGATTATGTTTGTTTTATCCTTAATTGTTCATCATCATGTTATTTATTTAATTTAATTCATCACATTTTCCTCTTCAACATTCAACTAATTATCTTATTAATAATGTTAAAGAATAATAAAAAAAAAACTCACAGGATAAGACGGTAAAGGCTCTTTAAGAAGGAGATCGCCCAGAATTTCATCACAGTATTTGGCTAATTTGTATTGTTGCTTTTTTCTGTAAACATCATGGATGAAAGAGATAGAGAGAGAGAGAGAGGGAAAAAAATATACAGAATCAGAATTAATTCTGTTAACCAAGTGATTTATTGACAACCTAATAGTTTATCCAATAAATTCAGTTCATATTAATTTGCAGAATTTGAATGTAATACTTACGAACAGTGGTTCTCAAAGGAAAGTATAATAGGATATTCAGATGTAACGAAAGCAGTGTCACGAATGGCATATATCACATCCTATTAGAAGATAAAAGAAGATTATTAAGTAAAAAGAGAACACAATTTAGGAAGATAAGGATAATAAGGTACAGTAGAAAAGGTTTGATTGATAAAGAAAAACAAACTCGAAATTAAACAACTGAAGCCTTTAATTAAGATGGATTAATTAAGCATTTTTTAAGCACTCGATTCTCCTTCAAGCTAAATACCATGATAGCATGTTGAAGGATGTGGAGGAGGAGGTGGTGATGGGAGAGAGAGAGAGAGGTAAAGGATGAAGAGAGTTTATTATAACAGATCTGATGATCCTGATAATTCTGTTAATGTTTCAAATAAAGTAAAAGGAGACAGGGAAAAGGATCAGAGTCATGGATCAGTTTATCCGTTTTTTCCTAATGTAAACAAAATTTGATAGGAAACAGAGAAGAAGATAAGTTTGAGAGAGAGAGAGAGAGAGAGAGAGAGAGAGAGAGAGAGAGAGAGAGAGCTTGAAAGAAGAAGCAAAAATAGAATAAAAAAGAAAGTTATCTGAGAAAAGATGGTTCAATGAAGAATCAAATGAACGATGAAAATGGAATCAAATTCAGAAGCGATCATCAAAATTCTATCAGAAACTGACTGAATCATATTAAATTCTCATTGTGTTATTATTACCATTAGAATGGAAAGTAACGGTAATATTATAAAGAGAAAAAAGACACTAGAAGAGACAGTAAACCAGAAAAAATGTCTCTTGGAGAATAGAAGCAAAAAAACAAGAGGAAACTTCATAACAATGGATTCGTAATGGTTTCGAAAACCAGAATCAAATGATAAGCATAAATTAATCGGTGATATGTATTCATTGACCATTATCATCAGGATCAAATCGAGAAAGCGAATTAAGTACAATAATTATCCTATTGTTATCATGTAAAGCTACTTGTAATCATCATCATGGTTAACTATCATTTCGCTCATTGAAAAGTACAATTTTATGTAAATTCAATCATGTTAATTGAGAATCATCATTATTTCAAATTAAATGTATTCAGAACAAGTCTATGTAAATATTATCATTCTCATCCTTCATCCTTCATCCTCATCATTTTTGCTACTCTGTTATTGTGTTAACTCTTCATCACCATCATCATAAAATACGGTCACATCAAGTACATATCAACAATATAATAACAATAATAGTCAACAAATAAGCATCACAAACAAAATCAACATTAACAATGAAAATATCATGTAACATCAAGATAATCATAGTTATGTTACCAGAAAGGAAAATGTTTCAAAATCAGAATCAAAATCAAGAGTAAGAGAGAGAGAGAGAGAGAGAGAGAGAGAGAGAGAGAGATGATATTTTTAATGAGAATCAAGAAATATGAAATACAAAATAGAAAATATTTCATATGAATATAAAATATCATGAGGGGTGAAAAGCTCAATGGTGAAAACATGAAGACAAAATAAGAAAAGTTATAAAAATTAAAACTAAAAGAAAGAGATAAATGAAAAAAAAAGTTCTGAGTAATTCAAATTGAAACAGGGAAGAGATAGAAACCTACAGAATTATATGTAAACTTTAAATTTTAGATTCTCCCTGAAATGTTGATGAGCTATGGGAAATGCAGTATATTAAGTGTATTATATCAGAAGAATATAAGATATATAAATAATATCATGAGGAATGATAATCATGATAATAGAAAATAATCACGAAAGTAAAGAGGAAGATTGAGGATGAGAAATGAAGAGAAACCTCAAGATTAACTTTGTTTTCAGATTCTAAGATGAATTATCTGTTTTTTTACTTCTTGTCTTGGGTTAGGTTATCATGAAGTCTTATTTTTTTCAGTTTCATTCTTCATCACCATGGTTAATGTTAAATTGATGATGATAGAGATGAAAATAATAAGTAAAAAAAAAGATTAATGTCTAAATAGGAAAGAGATTAACATCATTATAATCACAGCGACAGTTATCATAATAAATGTTTAGTTACAATTATCATTATTAGGATAATCTATTGATTAAATTCATGATAAATTAATGGCTCAAATCACTGTAGTAATTATGAATGCTAGTGATAATCATTAAGGATAACGATACGTTAGAGGAAAATTAGGAAATCACCTTTATTTTTTTGTTTCTTCTTGTAAAAGCGATTAACATTACAACTTAAATCTACTGAGTAATGATTAAGTTAATTGTTTTAGGATTGAGTTTACCTGAGTGATTAACATTTTACAATGAATCAGAACTTGATTCACATTGGTTAATAGTGTAACTATTAAACGTTAATGATTGGAAAAGTTATCATGTTTGTTTACATTGATCAATAACCATCAATTGTATTGATCAAATTAATATGATTAAAAAAGATATAGATATCAGTGTATATAAATTTTTCCCCCTTTTTTGACAACATAAGTTAATGTCTAGTTAATCATTGTGATGGTGATGATAATCATCATCATCATCATTTACATCATTAATTTAATTTGGTTTGACAGGTAACTAAATTGACAAGGAAATAAGGTTAAATCATCATCAATTCATTGATTTAACATTTATCATTTAGTTTATTGTGATTAATCAAATCAACAAAGGTGATAATATAATATTAAATTATAACGTCCAAGTGATAAATTACTAATGATATAAATGTAGTGAAAATTGACTAAATGATTACAATTAACTAATAAATTGTCAAGATATACATATACATATACACAAGTTACCACCACAATTACTGATAAAATTTACTAATAATAGTATAACTTGAATGATTAGGATGATAGAGAATCAGAAAAAAAGTTGAAATAAAAGTTAATTGGTTCAGGCAAACAATAAATCAATCTAATAGTTAATTAGATTCAACTTGTGAAATTAAAATTAAATTAGATTAGCAGAGTAACTATGGAATCAAGTTGATTTTCCAACTTGCTAATTGAAAGATATTCACTTTCTCTCTACCGTCAAATTTACATTGATTTAGTGAAAAGTTAATTAGTTGATATAAACTATTAGAGAGAGAGAGAGAGAGAGAGAGAGAGAGAGAGAGAGAGAGAGAGAGAATTGAAATAATCAAGCAAAATTTGAGAACATTAATCATAGAGAAAGTAATTAACTTTTCTAATACTTTAACTATTAATAAGACACAATGGATAGAAAGAAAAAAATTAATAATAATTAAGATCTAATCTAATTGTATCAATAAATAAACAATCAAATATCAGTATTAAAAACTAAGTGACAATTAACTGTACATGTGATCATCAATGAGAAGCTGATTAGAGTAAAACAAAAGCAATAGATGAGTAAACAATTTAAAAAAGATAGTAAAAAAATAACAACAACACAAGAGTAATTAGAAACGATTCAATGATTAGATAGATTAGTTAATGAATGATGAGAGGGATACTGATAGTGAGAGAGAAGGTTAAATAAGTATTAACAATGTAATAACATTGATTAACACCATAATTGTCAACAAGAAATATTTAAAACAAGGGATAAAAAAACCCAACAAGTTATTGGAAAGAGAAATTGTCTTTTTGTTGTTGAGATAATTAAAATTAATCTATTGATTAGTTTGTTTGGCTCGGAAAATTATCATAAGGATGAGGATAAACTTGTTCATCTGTGATGATAAAATGATTCCGTTACTTACTTTAAAAAGGATATCTGTGCACATCGCTTTTCCGTGGGTAATTATTGGTTCTTGATCTTCACTTTTACCATCCCAACAATCGAGTTCGATACAACGGCAGCCCGCTAATAGAACCTGTCGGTACATTTCAACGGACGATTTACCACCAAATTGTCGACCGGTCAGGTATGTGTTATGAGATGAATTGATATAATAATGAGCAAGTGGTTGATCCATGTCCATGTAAAAATCTAAACGATCAAGGAAAACGGGAGCATTTTCATCGGACATTAAATAACGTATAAGGCCATCCTGGGATATTTTACCCTCCGACGAAAGGTTTGTATCGGGTTCGTAGGTTGATATAATTTCACGGGCACGTTTCTCATCGTATAGAGGGTAAAGTATTTCATTTAATCGTGGATCTCGTTGTTTATCGTTAAGAAAATCAACCAATTGACGGAAACTAATGTGTTCAGCTTTTCCTTGGGTTATTGAATTGAATAGTTCTTCGATATCGTTTCTTGGACATATTTTATGGTACAATTTGTAGAAACGGTCAAAGGTCCATTCACTTGGTTCGATAAAATCATTCTTTTCATGAGGTAATCCAACCTCTTTCATACATTGGTAAATATATTTTTCCGTTTTACCGGAGGCAAAGGTTTTGGATACCGATCGTACCGGTATCTTTGAGTTAACATCAACCAGAAAACCTAATTTCATCCAATGTTTTTGTAAACAGGTTCGAGGGCAAACATTATTGGCTTTATTGTTATTTGTAATTGAACGTAATCCTGATTTCCAGGTTGATGCTGTTTCTGGATCCGGTGTGACAACATGAGTATAATTGATGTTTACCATATCGGTTCCAGAGCAAATGGTTAAACTAACCTGGTCCAAATTGTATTGTGAGGAGACTCGAGAGGTCAACTCGGAATGGAGAGACGGATTTTTTGGAACCCCACCTTCCCTGATATCATTAACTTGGCACAATTCTAATGCTTGACCCTCTTTACCTTCTGATTTCCAGTAGATAAAAAATCCATACTCATCGACACGAAATAAGGCTCCAGTTTCAACAACTATTTCACCCTTTTCCTCTTCCCACATATCAAAATAACATCCACTGGTCAGGGCTTCAGGAACTGGTCTTGACCAGTCAAACTCCAAGGCTTTGGTCATTTGGTCAATAGAATAAAAATTTCTCTCTCACAAACAAAATAGAAAACAAGAACAAACCAGAAAGAAAGTAAAGAAAAATCCAGGGAAAGAGAAAACACCAGAAGAGAAGAAGAAAAGGGTTAACACACACAGAGAGAGAGAGAGAAAGAAAAATAGAAGGAAGAAGAAAAAAAAGAGACAAGATGAGGTAAGAGTAGAATAGAAAAAAAATAAGGTAAAGGGAATAAAGGAAAGGGAAAGGGAAAGAAAACGAAGAAAACCCAACAGGAGAATAGAATTTGGATACAAAAAAAGAGAATAGAATATTGAAAAAGAGGGAATTTGTGTTTTAACCAGAAAACACACACAGATGATGAACTGTTATTGTTGAGAATGTAACTGTTATTTGGATACAATGGATTCACTTTCCTCCTCCACTGGTGATGGTGGTTTATGGTTATATTGGTGTAATAGTTGTTCTTGGTAACCGTTAGTAAAGATGAAGAAAATAACAAATTAACAGAGAGAAAAAAGTAAAACACCAAAGAATGAATAATATTAATTACGATGATGATGATTAGGGTGATGGAGAAAAAGAGGTTAACTTGTCACAGGTAATAAAAAGGTAAAGGTTTTCATTTTTCTCTCTTTTCTCTTCTTCTTCTTCCAAATGGATTTTCTCACATCATCATCATGATCCTTCTCATGGTTTTCTTCTTTTCTAACTCGAGAGTATCTCACATCTCTTTTCTCTTCTGCTTCTTCTTCTCTTCTTCCTCCTCCTCCATTTCATTCCAATCGCTTTCAGCCTGCGCTTCTTAATCTTTTTTTCCTCTTCCATTATTTTCCTCTGTCTTTTCCTCTGTCTCCTTTTCTCGCCTTCTCTCTTTAATGTTTACTTTTATTCGAATATCCAAACTACGCCCCCATGCGATTAATCATAGAAATTGAGGGAAAGAGAGAAAAGAAAACAGAGACATGGTGACATCTTCTATCTCTCAATGTGACAATTTAACCTCTTGTTTATCTTAATCAATGATTTTCTTTTCTCTCCTAATTAATATTAATTTTTTCTTCTTTTTTCTTTCCAACTTTTAATTTCTTCCTCTAATCTTCAGTCATCACCATTTAATTTAATTCCGCATTCTACTTGAGAATTAGAATAATCTGACTTTTATTGTTCTTTTCTCTTTAAGACTTTTCCTTCTATTCCAGTGTCAACTAATATTCTAACAATTTTATTCTATTCTCTTCTACTTTTACTTCATTTTTCTCTTTGTAAATTTATGTCTTTTCATTGTCTTCTTCATTCATATCATCATAATCATCTCTCTCTCTCTCTCTCTCTCTCTCTCTCTCTCTCTCTCTCTCTCTCTTTGTGTCTTCCCTTGGATTCTGATTAAGCCAATGTCAAGATATGATAACATTTTGTATACAAATGATGTGGTGATGAGATAAAATCTTTGCAACATCAAACAATTTTTCTACTTCAATGGTACAATGGTGAGTCTATGGCCAAAAAATGGTTTTAATTTCCACTCATGAAGCTTTTGGTTTATATTCATCATTGGAACACTAAAAACTTTTATCACCATAACCATCGTCATCACCATAAGTCTCATCATTGTCATAATCATGGTAATGATTATGTTAATTATTGTAATCATGTTGGTTAAACTGATAATTAAGACTTGGGTGATGACAAAAAAAAATGAGAGTAAAAATTTTGGGTTTCAATTAACTGAAATCACTGATCGTCCTTGTAGTTACATGATATTAACCCCTTATGATATTATGGTGGTGAATTTAAGTGACATTTAGATGGATTCATGAGACACTAATCATAATGATATTACTATGTGATTATTTATAATATTAACAAATGATTTACTTCCTTTAAACATTTTCTTTTCTTTCTAATTTCAGGTTTGACTACATTATGGGTTATTTGATAGGCTTCACAAGAAGATAAATCATCATCATCATCATCTTTATCTTCATCGTCATCGTCATCGTAATTCTGATCATCATTAAGGTGACATTACCGGATTCCTTTTCAATACTTTAGAATCTCAATTTTCTTTAATTTTTTTTCTCATATTTTTTTCTTTCTTTTCCTCAATAGATTTTTTTTTCTCCCACTTCTTGGATAATAAACCTTGACTTCCGTTGGCAGAAAAAAAAACTCAATAACATGAACCAGGAAAAACTAGAGGAAAAAATTACAGAGAAAAAAGTAAACAAATCAGATCCAATTGCATGGTAATGGTTGACACATGTAATTAAAATTCTCTGTCAGGAAGATTCTTGGTGACTCTTGATTGTACCGAATTGGTGTCGGATTAGTTGAAGATTCAATTTCCATCATTTCAATTGAATTGTTAACAATCAATTTGATTTTGTTTTTATTTTCTTTGTTCTTTTTTTTTTCTTCAGTTTTTGAGTTTTCTCTTTCTCCAAGTCTTATTACAAATTGGATAATATTATTATTCTCTCACTGAGTTTATCATAATAATTATAATAATAATTGAATTTATGGATAAGTTCATTTTCATCACCATAAGTTTGTCAGAAGATTAAATTACTCAGCTCAACATGGATAATTATCAAGGATTAAATAATGTTTGTTCACCATCGTCAAAGTGATTGGGTTCTCATTGTGAGCTGATTATCACTTCTCCTTTTTTGCTTCCTTTTCTTTGCTGTTTTGTCTTAATCACAGCAAAGATGATAATGGTTACACCATAGAGATTGTCAATCATGATCAGATAATCATGTTGAAAAGACACGTTGGGTTGATAAGGAAGAGAAAGAGGGAGAGAGAGAGATAGATAGAGAGTGAGAGAGTGAGAAAGGCAACAAGACAAGGAAATGGAGCAAAAAAAAATAGAGTCAACACTGAATGTTGATGTTAATCTTGATATTACAACGAAATAGAGAAAAAGATGGTAAAAGATGATTAAGTTCCAAATTTTTTGTTCGAGAATCGAATTGGAAGTTTCTTCTTTATCATGCTTGGTGTTACTTCAATCAAAAGTAATTCCTGTTTATCGGCCATAAATTCAACTGCAGCCAAATGAGAATAGCGATCAGAAGTTGTCCACGAAGAACCATTGTAATGATACAATCGATCCTGATCATAGGCGATCAGCCCATTTGGATGAAAAGTTAATCCGATAAGTGGAACATGTTGACTTGATTCATTGTATGAATATTTGGTAAATTCAGCTGAAGAAATTGAGAAACTCATAATTAAATGGTTGGCAAATGCAAACCAAATGAGATCCTTTTGATATTGGTTAAATTTAAGGCAAGTTGGTTGTGATGATAATTTAAATCGATGTACCAACGACCAATCAGTTGTACTAATCAATGAGACTGAAAGATTTGCTAATACAACGACAATATGTTCATTAGAAGAGGCCACTTTTACTAATCGATGTTTATATTTAAACTCTTTCTCCAATGTGATTCCCGACACGGTTAATTGAAACATGTACAATTTAAGTCCAGTTGAAAGAAGAAGATATTTATCACCGATAAACTCAATTCCGGTAATTGTTTCACCGTTAAGGTCACAAAGAAGCGGAACTTTGGTCACAGAATCATTGGCACAATATAATATTCTAACTTTTTCCAATATCGAATAGCAAATCCATGGTCCAGAAAAATTTGATTGGTGAATTAAACGTTTCGATTGTATATTAATCAATTGGATGGACCTTCAACCAAAGGTACAACATTTGAATCTCCAAATGAAATTATTTCATTGCGATAATCATGGTAACTGTTGTTGTTATTGTTATTATGATTGGTGTTGTTGTTACCACGATTGTTATTGTCAATTGAGCTGATTGAAGTGTTTAATTGGGCAGTTGATGTTGATCCGGTTTCCCAAATTTGTAATGATTTACTGTACTGGAAAAGAAGACGATTCTTGTCAATTTTGATGAAATTGTTAAAAACTGGCGCTTGATGGATCTGTTTTTGTGGAAAAGCGCAAATTTGGGTCAAATAACAATCGAAACCACCAGAGATTAGCCAACCCTTACTAGCGACAAGAGATCGAACATCGTTACTGTGAATATGTAGAACCGTTGATTGGACTCCTTTACCATTAGAATCAAGAGTGAAAGTGACTACATTTGGATCGGTTCCTGATGAGTAAATGACTCTATGTGAATCACCCGATTTACCAGCTGATTGGGTTAAACAGAGAACATCAGCTTTATGGGAATTACTTTGATTAATTAGAAGAGCATTTTTACCATCCCAGAAAGAAGTGAATCCCTTTGAATCACCAGAGATAATTGTAAAATCATCGGCAATAGTTAAAGACCAGAAAATTGTATTCTCATTAGATGAACGGATAACATTTAAACAATTTCCATTCTCATAGTTCCAAATTTTAATTATCCCAATTGAACCAGAGATTAATTTCTTATCACCTTCCAAAGGTTCATACCAAGTGACACATAATATTCGAGCTTTATCTCGACTCATCGTTTTAACAAAATCGATTCCATATTTATCATGTTCAACTATTGCAACGTTAAAGATACAAATGTAACCCTCCTCGGTACCAACAGCGACAAGAGTTTTATCCTTATTAAATTGTAAACACCAACCAGCACCAGAGACCAGTGGATATCCTTGGTGAAGTACATTATTGACCAAATCAACCTGATGAATTTTACCATTTAATCCACAAGCCCATAATCGACCATCAAATGACCATCCCAACGATTCAATTGAACTTGGATCATCTTCATCTTCATGGATAACCTGACTTAAAGTTGCTCGATGGTCAATTGACCAATCCCATATTTCAATTAGAGAATAGGATATTAATGATTCTACATCAATTGTAGATTGTTTCAATTTAGCTGATGATGGTGTCGATGATGATGATGATGATGATGATGCTGGTGGTGGTTGTAACGTTGATGAAGAAGATGATTTAACATCTAATGGTAATGATCTTCTAAGAACAGCTAATTTATTTTCTTCTGGATTAAAGGCTAAACAATTTATGGAAAATAACAAATCTGGTTCAAAGAGATTAACACGATGGGTGACAAAACGATTATTCATTCTCACGGGCATAACAATTTGGAAGAAAAAAATGACAGAAATTAAATTAGTAACAATCAAATTAAATTGTTGGTCAGAAAAACAATACAAAATCAATCACATGGAAATATTCACATGCTTGTTAATGAAAATTTTAAATTTCGAGAAAAAGTGGCTCCATCTTTTGTCGATTTTGTTTACTATTCGGTTAATCTGTTAATCGATTTCGATTATTTTTTTTTAATTTGGAAAAGTTAATTGGAAACAATTAGAGAGAAGAACAAGTTAAAAGAGAAAAGATAAATAGAAAAGGATAAAAAAGTAATTATGATTATGTTTTAGTTTTAGTTTGAGGAGAATTAATTTCTAAGGTAAAGTGTTTGTTTCGTTTTCAAATGTATTAGAAATTGTTGTTGTTTCAATTTCCGATTACAAAAGTAATTAGAGTTAATTGTTCCAACTCTTCTACCATTATGTCTAATTGAAAATGGTAAAAGTGTAACAATACAAAATCTAAACATTGAACTTGATGTAAGTTGATTGATCCATGGAGAGATAAGTTAAACTCAGAACATGGAACTGAACTCCGCAATCTCCATGGTAAATGTCTCACTTTTATCTTCTTCTCTCTCTCTCTCATTCTCATCATTTTCTTCAATCACTGTTTGAATCATCATCATAAATTCAGAATCTTCATATTCAGTTACCTTGAGAAAATAACATTCAAATCAATTGTCCATCGTAAATTCTTGTGGTCATCATCATTTGTGTTCAACTTTTACCTGGTCAGTTTGTGTTTGTGTCCATTGGCTTAGCAAAGGTAAAAAAAACTCCCAACTCTTTGGATGGAAACAATTATCCAATTAACTAATCGGATTTTAATCGGATCATAATCAGTCACAATTAACATTTATCATTAGCGTTAATCGTGTAAATAAATCAAGGGAAAAACTTTTCACATTACAATCAATGAACAATAACAATGCCGATAACATTAGGTCATTTTAATTGTTCAACCAAGTAAGTTAATCAAACATTTTTAATACAAACACAATTAACACAATCAATTGATTAACAATCCATCCCAATGTTAAATTAACATTCAAAATGTCAAAAATGATTTCCAATCAATCAATAAGTTTAATTGTATTTCCGTCAAATTTTTTATTCTGATTCCCGTTAATTAATCAAATCAATCACGATAGTTTTAATTGGACGAGAAACAAAATCAATCCAATTAGTTAATTTATTACCATGAGCAACAATTTAAATCCTCAATCAATTGTAATTAACATGTTACTTATTTATTGCATTTCAATTACTTTGCCTTTCCAACTGATAAACTATAAAATCAAATCAATAAATTGTCCAATCAGTTATTTTATTTGATCAAAGTGACCATTGGTCATAATCATCATAAGATAATATTGTTATATACATTGATTTAGATAATTTCATCATAAGAATTCAGAATCACCATGGTTATCACAATTATGACTTTGACTATTAAATTACTTTTTATTAGATAATAAACAAATAAATAAGGTTAACCCTGTATGAGAATCACATGAATCTGAATCTTATCATGAATTTCAAGCTAAAAATGAGCTGAAAATTTTATGATTCTTGGAGTTAATTGATTGTGTAGATTTAATTATCTCTCCCGGTGGAAATTTGGAAACATTAATCATGAAAGAGAATTGAAATTATTGCAACATGAAGAAAGGGACAGAGACAGAAAAAAGTTCTTAATCAGAAAAGTTCAATTCTCCATGAAAACTGCTCCTAAAAGCTAAACTAAATTCTGAATTCCAAGTTTTCAGTAACTTTCGTAATCGTAATTATCATCATGGTAAATGAACATTATCTAAATTATGTTCATTTCACCTTAAAAATCCCAAATGAATTGAGAGAAAAAAAGTTCATTCTGATGATTAAAATAATGATTCAGATAATTTAGATTCGCAAGGTTAATAAATTTCATCCTCATCCTCATGAAATTGGAATCAAAGTTTCACCAACTCTCAAAATTAATTGTAATTAATTCAGTTTGCAATTAGATTCATTAGTTAACTTTTATGTTTTATTTTGATTATCATGTTCAATTTAAATTGCTCCTTTAATTACCCAAGTGAACAGAAAAAACCAATATAATGATGATTATCATCATGAAATTATTATTACTAATGAATGAATTCATTACAATTCAATTTTCAGAACTTTTTTTCACCATGGTAAAAGTATTAATACAGATTTATGAAGAGATAATTTAATTTTCATTTCGATTCATTAAACTTACTATAAAATAATAATCATAATAATATCAACAGCTCATTATCATTACCAGAACTTTATCTTTATGGTATTTGAGATGAAAACAAAGTTCTGCGTATCTCATTACCATGAGATTGAGACTAAAGTATCATGTTCATGGTGAAAATATTCACTAATCCATCAAGGTAAAGCTTCTGATTCTGTAAATATTCAGAAACTTATCTTTCGCTGTTTTGTTGATTGTTCAGTTATGAGAAATGAATTAGAACTGAAATATGATAGTTGAATTTTCCAGGGTGAGGATCGAACTTGGTTATCGAGTTTCTATTAGGATATTTTTGAATCGAAGAAAAAAATCTCTTCATAGGTACAAAGAGAAGAAGAAAAAAGAGAACCAGAGTAGAAATCGAAAATATTCAACTCGATCCAAAGTTTTTTTTCGAATTTTTTTCTCTCTCTCGTTCTATTCTTTTATTTTCTTTTTCTTTACTTTTTCTTTGGCTTACAATCTAGACCATCGAATATGAAAAAAGAAAATTCTCAAGATGATGATGAGAAAAAGTGGAAGAAAACGAAGATGAAGAGCAAGAGAAAGAGAATTGAGGTGGTAAGATGAAGATTGAAAAGATAATTCCAAGGGATGTAACATTGATTAGAACTCGAAAAGTAACAACAAAACCGTAATAACATCGAGATGAAAAAAAAGTCGAATAGAAAAAAAAAGTTTCGGTTTCTGTATCTTTTTGCTTTTCATCATGTGAAGAAAGTGGACACAAAATGGACACAATACACACATGCAACCTTCTAATAGAGATGATAAGCAAAAGGATGACAAATGATGACGAAGAAAAAAAAAGCTGATCATTCTGATCACGGTTGATTAAAGTTACTTTTTGATTACAATTAAGAACTAGAATTGACATCACTGAATCAATTTATCTTAAGGTAGGGGAAAAAAGTTTCTCTCACCTTTTTTTCTTGCTTATTGACAAGATGATGACGATGATGATGATGATTGAAGATGATGATAAAGCCATTTCTATATCCTCATCAATGTTGATGATCAAAAGATGATAACTGGATCCAATCAAGACCAGGTTAATGATGTTGCAAGCGAGAGAGATGATAAAATAATCCTCACTCAGGAAATGATATTCACTGTTGATGATTGACAAAAGGTGATGATAAAGTTAATAATCAACAGAAAATGAACAAGATCTGTTAACTTACCTTGATGATTTCTTTTTATCATCTTTACCTGAAGGGGAAGAAGATGATAACTGACAATTTCCATTTCCACCCACATAACCCACCAAAGACCAAACAATGGGAATGATGTCAATCCATTATCTTATTTCCTCTGCTTTTTTTCAAATTTCATTCCATTTCCTCATCATCATCCTCATCATATTTTCATCTTCTCAGGTATCTCTCATCTTTATCTTCAATTTCATCGAGTGTTGATCATCACCATCATCATGATAAGATGATTTTCACCCAAGAAATTTCATCAACATCTTTTTTTCATCATAACAACAAACAAACAATTTATGATAACCGTTTCCTCCAGTTTATTGGATGAACTTTTTTTCCTCATCATCAACATTATCTGTTGGAATCATAATGATGAGCATGATAACTTTATCGTCTCTCTCACTTTCTAGATTTAATTCTTGAAACAGGAAATATTTTTTTTCAAAAACTCTCAAGATGAGAAAGGAAAACTTTTCTCTCTCTCTCTCTCTCTCTCTCTCTCTCTCTCTCTCTCTCTCTCATCTTTTAAACAATCGAAGATTTTGACTTTATAAAAATACATGAAACATGAACTATTCTGAGGAAAAGAGATAGAAATATCATGTTGTCAGAATTCAATGTTGATCCTTTGATTATGAATTCAGGAAAAGTAATAAATTTCATGGGAATTGACAAGAGATAGAGTACAAAAAACTCACCATAGAATTTCAAATATTAAAATAACCAGAATTTTCATTCAGAATTCAAAATAAAAGTGAGTGAGAGATAAAGAGATATATTAATACAATAGCAAGGTAGTAAATGTACTAGATTGATGTCACCTCTCAGTGTCCCTGCAGTTGTAAATAATGATCATGTCGATGAAGACGATAACATGATAATGTTGAACATTAACAAAATGGAGTAAAATTCATTGATGAAGAAGGAGAAAGTTCTGCTTGAAAACTCAGAGTTTTTCATGTTAAACTAATTTTGTAGCTTTAACTGTTTACACACGAGAGTCATGTATCTCAACTAGTGACTGATCATCATGATACTTTAGATACTTATATGAGATTCTGATAAAAGATGAAGATAACGGTAAAGGATAAAAACTTTGAGTTCACCAAATTATGTAATATCAATGCCTTAGAGGTAAAAGAGGTTTAAAATGAAGATGAAGATGCATCTTGATGAAATCAGAGAGAGAGAGAGAGAGAGAGAGAGAGAGAGAGAGATGTTGCTGAATTCTGAAGATAAATAAGGTAAAGTGATTAATTCTGATGATGATTATGATGATTAAAGTAGAGATGAAGTGAAACCCTTTGGATATAATTTGGTTTCCAATTGTTTCCATTCATCTTTTGTATTCATATTCAATCAGCATTTTCATTGCAATTACGATAACTTTTGTCATCATCTTTTCATCTTGCTTATCATCATCATCTTCAATAATAATTGCTGCAAATCTAATAACAAATAATAATAATAATAATCTAAAGTAATTATTGTAATGACAAGAATAACAATCAAACGTATCTCAGGTGAAAATCTTCATCTTTTCCTCTTGTTTCTTATTCCTTTTCAAAGATTATATTCATTTCTTTGTTCATCTTCCATCCTTTATCTCCATCTTTATTTTCATCTTCATCCTCATTCTCCACCCACTTTCACCTTTATTTCGACAACAACTTTTATTTCTCATCATTTCACATTTATCTTCATCTTCATCTTCATCTTCTTCTATGACCTTCATCTATTATCAGAAACTTTTTCTAGCTTTCAGATTCTTATGATGACGATTATAAACATGGAAGATGAAAATACCCTTTACATGTGTATTATTATTGTTATTCTGATACAATCTGAGAATCTTTTTCATCATCATTATCATCTTATTTATCTTCCTTCTAATGATGACGATTTCCTTTTGTTGTTATCCCTTTAACAATAACAAATATAATATAAGAATAGCTATAAAGATAGATAGAGAGGAAGAGAAAATTTCAACGTAAAATTATTCAACCTGAGAAATACAATAGATGAACATGAGATTTTAATGCTCGACAGTACAATTAATATTGACTAAGTGGGTGCTGGAAGTGTGAGAATGAAATATTAGCAACAGTGAGAATTATTTTATTGGAAGCCAGTTAACGAAGATGATGAACATTTTTACTTCATTATTTTTCTGCTTGATTATCTCATCTGATCCATTCTGGAAGATGATACTCACTCTCCATTCATCCTAAGAATACAAGTAACCTTTCGACTATTAATATTTACGATGATGAAGATGAAAATATGAATCATGATAATTCTTGTGTCAGGTCAAGTGACAGTAATAAGGAACAGATAAAACTTGTTTATTCATTCCCAGACTCATTTTCCTTCTCTCTCTCTCTCTTTCTCTCTCGTTCTCAACTTAGAGCAATATTTCAAGTTCATGGTTATCTGATCTTTCGCCATGATAATCTTATTAAGCTCATTATCTAATGAGTTTCCATGTTCAA